CTGGGATCATGACCCGAGCCGAAGGCAGAGGCTTTAACCCACTGAGCCACCCAGGCGCCCCTTGTTTTTGTTTTTTTAGCAGAACAGAAGAAGATAATTGAGGTGGAAATGAGCTCAGCCAGCTGTGTACTTGTTGCTCTAACAATGAATGTGAAGAGTTCTTCATAGGGTGCTGGGATTCTGGGTTAACCGATCAACAAAGCCTGCCAACAAGTTTGTCTTGAAAAAAATAATCATCTGGCTTGTTGTTATTGGGAGCAAGAAAGGCTATAGAACCTTTGGGGTATGGCTCAGACTCACAGATATGTTCCTTAAATCACAGTTCTTGGGTTGAGTTAAAACACCTATTCAAAGGCAGATAGCCTTATTTTCACCCTGAATTGGCCTTAAACCTTAACAAATGCTATTTCCAGGCCTCAGTCTTACCCACTATAAAAGAAGGATAGTGTTTATCCCCTGCCTCACTGAGATGCTTTCATTCAGTCATTGATATAGTCAACATACCCACATTACACCCGTGTTACATATCAGGCATTGTGCTAATGCTGACGACGCAGAAGTCAGTCATGTACAGCCCCATCCGCTCTATGGGGAGGGGAGCCCTAAAACGCATTTATGGAGCGCCCCTGCCCGTTGGACTCGCTGGCTGCTGTACGTGAAAACGATAGATGTAATACAGAAGATATGTCAACAAATAATAGAATAGGGAAGGTGGTGCAAGGAAAGCATTCATAAAAGTGCTTTGGGACTTTTATGGGAATAAAAGGGGAAGGGAAGTGAGTCATTCTGCCTGGGAAACTGGGGAAGGCTTTACCGAGAAGATGAAATCTGGACAGGACTTGGTTGTACAGAAGTGCGGGGATGGGGAGGGGCCTCTGGTGCGGGGTACAACTGATTCAAAATACTGAGGGCCTCAGAGGGTCTGGTGTGTTTTCCAAAAGGGTAAGCGACTCTCTGCTGAGCGTTTGGGGGTTGGGGGTGAAGTGGGGAGCTGAAGGTGGGAGGTGGTTGTAGAAGGATTGTGACCCTCTTCAGGAGGCATTCGAAGGAGCCTGGCCCGGAGTGGCCATTGGAATATAGGACAAGACACATCCACTCTGTGCCTCCAAAAGACCATTCTAGAACCAGTGAAGGGGGCTACTGGAATGGAGAGGGGCTGTTCAGGAGGCTTTACCAGCAATCATGGTGAGAGGTGATGACTCAGTTCAGGCAGAATTGAGATCCCAGAAAGATCATTGAGATCTTTTGTTTGTTCTTTTCTAAAGTTTTTTAAAAATCAAATAATAGAAAAACTTTACATAAAAATATGTCAATCTTAGCTTCCACAATGTTGTCCACATGCCCGTGCACATGCACACACACACACACACACACCCCCATCGGAACATGAAGTCTTTTTGTGAAACTTGTAGCCTGTGATCACGGGGAGATCCAGGCCAACTCAGGTCCCAGGGTCCCAGGACATGATGGAGCTGGGTGTCTCTGTCTTAGGAATCAAGATACTCGCCGGGGCTCTCCCCACAGGTGTCTCCCTGATGTAGGGTTATATTCACAGATACTAATGCAGGCCTATGAATCAGTTTTTATAAATATTTATCAATAGGATCACAATGTAAATATCATAAAATATTTCTTTTTTTTAAAGACTTTTTTTATTCGTTTGAGAGAGCATGCGCCAGTGAGAGCAGGAGCAGGGGGCAGGGGCAGAGGAAGAGGGAGAGGCAGGCTCCCCGCTGAGCAGGGAGCCTGATGTGGGGCTCAGTCCCAGGACCCTGGGATTATGACCTGAGACCAAGGCAGATTACCAACCAGTTGAGCCACCCAGGCACCCCAGCATAGTGAAATATATCTGGTAATGGTCGATCATCAAGAACAAGAGACGGAACATGTTGCTCTGTTCTGGCATGCCCTTCCAGAGCCTGGGACTGGCCGCAGTTGACAATTCTCAGGGGTAATGCGGGCCAGTCCTGCTTCAGAAAGGCAAAGCACACACATTCCCAAGCGTGTCCGTGCTGGGTGCCCATCCCATTCAGATCTCCACCTAGAACCAGACTGATAGCTTTTGGGGACTGACTGGGTGTGGCGAAAGAGAGGGAGGGACGGATCCGAAAAGATTCTGCAGCTTTTCAAGTGGCATTTGAGGGGCCCTGTTTTCAGGACACATGGAGGAATGGCCCGTTACCCGGTGCTTGTTTTGTCAAAATAACAGCCCCCTTAGCACTGCCTGCCGCTCCCAGGAGCCTCAATTCGCTATGATTTCCAAGTCTGTTGTGAGCCCGCTGCAAACGGGCTGTGGTTCCTTGTTCCGGCCTCTGAAGTGAAAACGGGTGGCTGCTAGAAATGAAGACAGCCTGCCAGCAGAGGAGCCGGCAGAGGAGCCGGTGTAGACAAGGTTTGGGTCCCAGCACCGGCCGGGTCCTCATGCCTCTAGCCACTTCACCGTGACTGGACGGTGTCCTTCCTCCTTTAGTTACAGCAAATATTCATAGTTTTAATAGTTTTCTAAGGCTTGTGGAGGGAATTGGCGTTCTTATGATGCTTCAGCTTCTTAAGTGTGTGACTAATACTTGAAAGAATTATTAGGAGACTTCTTTATTTTTTAATTGCATCAACATGTTTGGTATGTGACCCAATTAATTCATTCTAGTTGTGAATGTTATTGGAAGACCCTGTGCCCTCTTGACCTCTCCTTATGATTATGACTGGTGCCGTCCTTTGAAGCACCATTTTGATTACACACTTAAAAGGAACCACTAAAGTACCCTCTCATCGCTGCATGGCTGAATGGCCACTGCTTGCTTGGGTTCAAGGACAGTCATCTGAGAGTGGATCTGGTGTCCTCAACAGCTCAGTGGCCAGGACTTCCCTTTTCGCCTCCCCCCCACCATTCTGCCCCTTCCTGTCCTCCCCCCACCACCACCACCAGGGTTTTAGTCACATGGTCCTGCTTTCGTAAGACTAGCTGTTCTCCCTGAGACCCAAAGAGCTGTGTTTTAACAAACAAAGATAAATCAATAAATGGGCCTTATCAGTGTTGGGATTACAGGCAGGTGCCTCAGAGCAAACAGGACTGCTATTCCCCTCCCCCCCTTCATCCTCCCTCCCCGCCCAGACACACTTGTATTGGTTTCTGCTCATCCTTAGATTACACTATCTGGCAAATCTGCATTCAAACAAAAACTGATCCCGCCCACTCACCCAAACACAAGTGGAAGCCTGTATCTGGGAAGCAGTTTTAACTACGTTGTGGGAAATAAAGTTCTCTCTGCTGAGGTCTCTGTCCGGAGGTCTGAGCATTTTCATCCACGTGGATCTTATGAAAAGTTTTTTCTGCCATTTAATTATCACCACTTGGCATTGGGTTCTATAAAGCAACATCTAGTGTGCTTTAAGACGGTCCACGATCATTTACCGAAGTTAAGGACAAGCTGTCAACTCAGTAAATTGTCTTGTTCAGAGCAAGACCTTCAAAGGCCTCTTAGTGGCACAGACAAGGGTCCTCATCAACATGTCCTTTCACTCCTTTTTGGTACTCTCTCTGTCACCCATCTCCCTGTATCACTGTAAAAGTTACGTTTGTGCAGCCCATTACAGTTCCTTGAGAAGAAATACAGCTGAGAAAATCAGAGGGAATCCTGTGGATGATGATGGGAAAATAAGAACTGATATTTAAGGGAACAAAAGGATGTATTAATGTCCACACATCTCAGTCGTGGCTGTGAGTTATGTACAGGTCATCCGTGGCACTCATCACTTTCCCTAATAGGATGAGACCTTCGGGGAAACTTTGGTTATGCCCTCCTGCCTTATGGAGTTTTATGTGGAGTAGCATCTGTGTCCACTGAGGTTGTACCACAGACAGGCTGGCTTATAGTAACAGTGGAAATCTATTGTTCTCAGTTCTGGAGACCAGAAGTCCAAAATCAGGGTGTCAGTATAGTCGGGAAAGGACCCTTCCCCAGGTCGCAGACTGCCTACTGCTAGCTGTGTCTCCACGTGGCAAAAGGGGCAAGAGAGTTCTCGGGGGCGAGGGGGGGCGGTGGGTGGGTAGGGAGAGGGGTGTCTCCCTTTTAAGAGCACTAAGCCCATTCATGAGACTCACCCTCACTACCCAGTCAGCCCCCAGGGCGTGACCTCCTAATATCCTCAGCTTGGGCATTAGGGTCTCACATATGAATGGGGCGGGCAGGGGCGGGGGGGACGCACATCCATAGCAAGTAGGATGCAGCTGTCATCACCAAGTCTATGAGATTAGGTTCCCCATGAAGGATTTGACACAACCCAGAATATAGGGCAAAACTTTTCTTCATAAGGGTGCCTGGGTGGCTCAGTGATTTAAGCCTCTCTGCCTTCGGCTCAGGTCATGATCTCAGGGTCCTCAGATCGAGCCCCACATCGGGCTCTCTGCTCAGCAGGGAGCCTGCTTCCCCCTCTCTCTCTGCCTGCCTCTCTGCCTACTTGTGACCTCTCTCTGTCAAGTAAATAAACAAAATCTTAAAAAAAAAAAAAAACTTTTCTTCATAAAGGACAGTGGAAGTATATTTCCTTCAAGGAATCGAACTATTTGTTTTCCTGTTAGAATCCGGTGAGGCGCTCTTTACTATCCCGTGGCAAGAGTGCGCATGTCTGGGGTTTTAACAAGCCACGCAGCCATTCGCCCACTGAGAGACTGTTGAGTACCGACTCCATGCTGCGCGCAGTGCTAAACCCTGCAGCCAGCCTGCTGGAGGGTCTGGTTGGCTGACCTTTAGTGACAGAGAGAGAAAACACCGGAGACTTGTCTCGAATTGGAATCCATTTGCCACCACAACTCTCGAGAACAGCCTTCTTAGAAACCGGAAATGAACATGAAGACCAGAGGTTACTGGATCTTACTGGCAGTTACCAGGCACGTTCTTCAGAAGGAAGCCTTTGTTAAAGTCCTGATGAATGTAGACTAAAATAAAATTTGTTCACGATGTCTTGTTTACCCCTGATGATGCTTTGCTCTTTTGGCCCAGACACAGAAAAGATAGTACTAGAGGCAGGAAATGGATTGCCATCCTGGAAATTCAATGACCAGCTTTTCCCGTGTGATGTGTGTGGGAAAGTGTTTGGCCGACAGCAGACGTTGTCTCGACATCTCTCACTGCACACAGGTGAGTCAGGAACTCACGCGGATGCCTTCCGCACTCTGAATCACCAGCTTCTCTCTTCTTGGGAGTTTGAGTTTCTCTAAGAGAGTTGTAACAGGAAGTGGTGGAAATGTTTCTATCCTGACCTTTCAAACCACGTTATCTGGCACGTTCAAAGGCAACCCTGGAAAAGGTTTTTATTTGTATTGAAAGGAGGATTGATGAGGAAAGAGACACACGTAGGTGTATCCAGGTAAAATTCTGGAACTCTAAGAAACATAACGGTCTCATCTTCAGGGTGCAGGGGCTGGAGCTGCACCCCATCTCGTTGGTTTCATCCTGGCGTGGTAAATGGGAGCAGCAGAGGGACAGAGCAGCTGGTGGGAAACAGTTGCTATCTTTACCTTCACGTAATAGTAGAGAAATGTGCTTGATTCTGCGTGTTGCAAAAGGGAAGGCAACCAAATTAAGAAAGGATAAAGGAGGAATAAATAGTAACTTAATTAATGCAACAAAAATCAGTTCCTTCTCCCCCGGGAGAAAGAACTGTACTTTATCTGCACGGTGGGGCTCCATCCTGAACCCCACCAAGCCTCAGGCCACCAGCTCTTCAAATGTGGGGGACCATCTACGGTAAGAATGATGATGGCTTACATTTTGTTGGAGGAAAACCTCATTCCTCATTCTTCGCTGTGAAGAAGATAAGAATGGTATTTTGTAAAGCCAAGCCCAGTAATACAGAGGAAGAATCAGGGATAGAAAATGCAGTTGCTCTTTGCTTTTTCTGCCACCGTTGGCCACCTTTATCTGCACCACTGAAAGCAAAGCCTGCTCCTTTTACTATAATTTGCTTGATGAATCGAATGAATTCAGAATGCCACTCTGCAAAGAGTTCTGAAACATTGTCAGTTTTATGAGAGGGTTATCATTAAGAAATTAATTGCAATTTTTAATTTTATTTACATAAAATGAAAATTTCCCATTCAATTATTTCACATGAGTCATTTTCCCCCCTTTGATTTCATTAGTTTTTGATGTCTTGGCTGACCTAGGCCTGGAGCTTAGGGAAAATGATGGGGCTTCTCTTAACACCAGACCCAGGAAGGCTGTGTGTTCCATTCCCCTCTCCCCAGCTAAGCACCCACCCTCAGCTGACACTTGGAAAGCATGTGCGCGCACACACATGCACACACACACACACAATATTCTTTTAGCCCCTGTGGGCCTCCTCTGTCAGGAAGAGGGACCTGTGGGTGTCTAGGAAAAAGCAGATGGTCCAGTTGCCTTGGGACCTGACTTAATCTTTGATGGCACTCGTAAATACAACAGTGACCTGCTGGATAAAGACTTTTAGATACTTAAAATACCTTGGGGTTCCCCTGGTCCCCATTTGAAGTGAGATCTGAGCCCTCCTTTCCTGGAGAGCTTTAAGTGGTCGCTTGTAAGGTGTTGGGTGTTCATTTTTAAGAGCAGTTTGGGTTTTTTCCTGTCGCTCCCCCCCCCCCCCCCCCCCCCGCAGAGGAAAGAAAATACAAATGCCACTTGTGCCCCTATGCTGCTAAGTGCCGGGCAAACCTGAACCAGCACCTGACTGTGCACTCAGTGAAGCTGGTGAGCACGGACACGGAGGACATCGTCAGCGCTGTCACCTCTGAAGGCAGTGATGGGAAGAAGCACCCTTATTATTACAGGTGAGCGGTGAATGGAACCGTGCCTAGCTTTCTCGAACACTCCCCGCCCAGGTGCTAGGGCATGTGTGATGAGATGCCTTCTCAGTCATGGTGCGAACCTTCGTTTTAACGTTGGCTTTGCTTAGACTGAACCCAGAAGCTGTGCTGACTCCTCTCTTGGCCTGGGTGGCCCTCGTAGAATTAATTGAAAGGGAAATGGTCTTGGAGGTGGCTCTCTGGGGTGGAGCTCTGGAGAGCAACAGGGGTCGGGAGGTTATTAGCTTTTTCGTTTGTGCAGCTGGGAAGTTTCCACCTTTGTAATAGCACCTTGCTGCTACCTGAGAATTGTCCTACGGAGAAAAAGAGTAGGAAAAATAAATCTGAAAACTGGGGAAATCGCCCTGAAAGCATTGCATATTTTCCCTTGGTCTTACTGTCTTCAGTACCTGGAATTTTATGTTTCCCTTCCACATTCAACCATGAATCCGTATTTGATTTGGTTGCCATAAAATCCCCAGGGTCAGCATCTTGCCCAAGGGGCAGACTGTACAGATTGGTGGAAACTTGCTTTTGCGTGAAATGTCTCCATGGATGGGTGGCTTCTATCAGGAACTGTCTCAGACCGGACTTGGTCCTGTCTGTGGTGCCATCCGAGGACCCCTGTGTGCCTTCAATGGCTGCACCGAGGGTTTCCAGAGCCAGAGAGAGGCTCACTGGGTGTGCTGGGTGCCCTGAACTCACCAGTGTGCCAGCACCGCTCATACCTTGGCAAAGCTGCCCCACATCTCCTTGCCCAAAGGAATCAGTAAGGTGAGGTGTGGCATCTGGAATCTGTAATATTTAATTAACTTTATGATGATTTAGCATCGTTATGGCATGGATGGGATTGTTGCATTATGCCGGCACTTACTCCGTTTGGCGCTGTGACCACCGCAGAGGCATCCCGAAAGCCGAAGAAGTTTTTCTTTTCTTTTCTTTTTTTTAAAGATTTTTATTTTATTTGACAGACAGAGATCACAAGTAGGCAGAGGGCAGGCAGAGAGAGAGGGGGAAGCAGGCTCCCCACTGAGCTGAAAGCCTGATGCGGGGCTCAATCCCAGGACCCTGAGATCATGACCCGAGCTGAAGGCAGAGGCTTAACCCACTGAGCCACCCAGGCCCCCCCCCCCCCCGAAGAATTTTCTAATGCAAAACCTTTTGGTGGGAGAGAATACATGTGTATAAGAGTTTGGTTTTCTAAGTGGACCACAGAGCATCACTCTTCTCTCTCCTTTTTTTTTCTTTTTTGTCGTCCCCTCATATAGTTGTCACGTGTGTGGATTTGAGACTGAGCTCAATGTCCAGTTTGTCAGCCACATGTCACTCCACGTGGACAAGGAGCAGTGGATGTTTTCCATCTGCTGCACGGCCTGTGACTTTGTCACCATGGAGGAAGCAGAGATAAAGGCTCACATTGGCATCAAGCACACAGGTGACCATCGCTGTCAGTCCTTCTCTCCTCCATCCTCCCAACCACCCCAGAGTGCTTTCCCACCTGGCAGACGCGTCCTCCTTGCAGGCGACACAGACCTCTCCTTCTTCCGAGGGAAGGACTTGCCCAGGGGAGCAGAGCCACGTTGCCCAGGGTTCACCTCATTTAAGGCTCCAGCTGTTCTGGTTAGCGTCTTCCTTTTCGCGATGTTGACACTGTCACTTCACCATGCAATTATCATCTCACAAGTGATGGCTACAGACGACACCAGGGTGGAGTCATTAAGTCAGAATGAGGAGGAGCCTCTCCACTCTCCCCTCCACCCCTCGCATTTGGTGGTGCTTACAGATTACAAGTTGATATTCTCAACCGCCAGCCCTGGGGATTGGGTTAGCCCCTCACGTCATTGGTACTTGAAGGATTTGGGGAAGGGGAATTTCCCGGATAGTTGTGCTGACCACGTGCTCAGCCCAGAAGGAGCTCTGTGTGCATTAACCAGCCGCCTTGGCTCCGTGGTGCCAACAGCAATAAAAGCTTGCTTTTGTTATAAGTTGAGCAGCTATGACTTGGAGGTCTACAGAGAGCCCTTATGCTGGGTGAGAAGGTGCCATTTTTACAGTCGGTTATCTGGCTCTAACCACATTAGCTCCGTGGGCAGCCGGTGAGCTGGGAAACCCAGGTCAAAGACAAACTAAATTCAGCATTTCTGAAGTGGCTAATGAAGGGAAAGGCCAACCTCTCTTCCATTTCCACTGGATTTTCTGATATTCTTTTTTTTTTTTCCTCTTTTCTGTGACTCTCCCATTCTTCTAACCCTCTCCATCCCAAGTATGCCTAAGCCCAGTCAAAAACCTTTTCCCCAGCCCTCTACCACCGCCCCACCTCAAGGAAACCGTAGAAACCATAGTGGCTGGAAAGCAGTTGGATTTAGAATCACTTAATTGTCATCAATGGAAACTTCACATTCACAAGTAACCAGTGCAAACACACTCAGGGCCACAGGGAACACAGAGATCTTGTTCCCTCTGAGGTGGTGGGGCTCCTTGTCTACCCTAGGAAGAATATTCCCATTTGTTAGCACAGACAGCCAGAGTGAAATGCATTAAAGAAGTTGCTTTTTTAATACAGTAGAAGCCTTTAACACTGCTGCTATTAGGGAATAAGGTTATAACCTTTTTATATAGGCTTTTTTTTAGCCAGGGAAACTAACAGAGTTTGTATTTTTTTTTTTTTTTTCTGTAAAGGCCAGATAGTGAAAATTCTAGGCTTTCAGTCCATACAGTTTCTGTCACCACCTTCATTGGAATGAATTGGAACTTGAATGTAATGTAAACAATACACAAAAAAGCAGTCCTGGCAGTGTTCCAATAAAACTTTATTTACAAAAATAGGAGGCCAGATTTGGCCAAAGGACCCCTTTTAGAAGCTAATGGTCTTCACAGTGAGGGTTTCTTGCATGTTGTTGCTGGTCTGAAGTGTTTGAATTTGACCCAAGATATGTCGATCTGTCGACATATGCAGTATATATGCTATGTGATACATATTATACTATATATCCCTGAGAATAAGAAGCTTATCTAAGTTACCATTGTCTTTTGAGCACCTGGGCCAGTGCCTGGGCCATGTAAGTTGGGAGTAAATGTTTATCTGGTGAATATCCATTCATGTGGAAGCACATTTACACACATCTGTGTGTGCTAAGCAAGAAAATTATTCCAACATGGCCCTTACTGAACCCTGAGAGTCTACTGACTTAGGCATATCATCTACTCTACATGGAAGAAGTTACTTGGGATGGAGGGAAACACACTTTGAATTCTAGATCCTAGTTCTGGACCCCATGTTACCATAAATAGCTCTGCAAATGTAGAAACTCATATAACTCCCCTGGGCCTTCATCCATTCCTTGACTTTTTGAATGTGCAGGAGGTGCCCAACAGGCAGAAGATTCTCTGATTCTGTGGATCTTGTTCTCTGACGTGATTCACCTGTCATAGGAATGGGCACTTTTATTTCAATCCCCTGGGAAATCTGCAGTGCCTTCTTGTGCTAGACGTGAAGTCGGGATCCTCAGGATGAGTGTTGTCTCCCACAGAACCCATGGACTTTCTATATTCCTTCCTGGCTACTCTTACCCAAGGCACACTTGTGAGCGGCGCGCTGAGTGGGTGTCTGAGGAACTGCCCTCTGTTTAGGTAGTTTCTTCCCAGTGACCCTCCTTACCCTCTTCCTCCCATTCCCTGGCTTCTTGTGTCTGCAGAGGACATCAGCAAGGGGAAGATTTTCCCTCTGGTGTTCCCAATGTCCTCAACGCAAATTTCGCTGCTGTGTTTAAATGTTGCAATAATAGCATTGAGGAAACTGAATAGCTGTTTGGAAAATACAACCATCAGTTCTTTACCTCACATTGACACCAAAATAAATATCAGACAGCTTACATAATCCCCCTTAACAAATCAGCCCTAGAAAAGCTTGAAGTAAATAGAATGTTTATCAAACTTCCAGAGTGAGGAGGATTTGTGAAAGCTTAAGTGATTCGAGAAATGGCAAAAGAAAAGAATCAAGAGATTTGATGCATAAGACTATCTTCTTCTATTTGCAAAAGAAAAGGAAAAGAGAAGGAAAACAAAACCAAAACACCAGTCTGAAAACTGTGGTTGTGAAAATGACAAAGGCTGATATATTTACTGCATAGAAAATTCATATAAACTGGAAAGAAACCCCTTTAGGTCTCTAAGTGAAGAATTTACAAAGGACATAAACAGTCAGTGCACAGTAAAAGAAATAAAAGCTAACCATTCGACATAAGGAAAAATATTCGACCTCTCTAGTTATCAGATTAAAGCTCAAGAGTGTCTTACATTTCACCGATTGCAGTAGAAGTGTGTTTTACCAAAAAAAAAAAAAAAAAAAAAAAAAAAAGAGTGTTTTTTACAACATTACCCACATTGATTGGATGCTGCTGATATTTTTTTTTTTTAAGATTTTATTTATTTATTTGACAGAGAGAAATCACAAGTAAGCAGAAGAGGCAGGCAGAGAGAGGAGGAAGCAGGCTCCCCGCTGAGCAGAAAGCCCGATGCGGGGCTTGAACCCAGGACCTGGGATCATGACCTGAGCCGAAGGCAGCGGCTTAACCCACTGAGCCACCCAGGTGCCCCTGCTGCTGATATTTTTATGGCCATGACCCTACAGAGTGGAAGAACTTTTGAAAACTACTTAAGTAGTATAGACCAAGAGGCTTGAAAATGCCTACAATTCAGTAATCCTTCTTCTGGGAGTCTAGCCATAGGGGGGGAAAAAATCAACCAATGGAATATTAATTTTCTTTTAAGTTATATATGATTTGTGACTTTCTTTTTTTAAGAGTCATGTATTTAAGAGTGAGCGCATGTGTGAATGAGCACAGGGAGGGGCTGAGGGAGAGAAAATCCTGAAGCAGACTCCCTGCTGAGCACAGAGCCTGGCTCAGGGCTGGATCCCACCACCCTGAGACCTTGACCTGAGCTGAAATCAAGAGTCAGCCACTCAACCAACTGGGCCACCCAGGCACCCTGAAATACTAATTTTCACTTAAAATTTAATTTTAAGGAAATATTTAGGTAGTGTAGGATAAGTCTACCCCATGGATGTGACATATTTTTTTTTTAAAGATTTATTTATTTGAAAGAGAGAGAGAGAGCATGTATGCAGGAGCAGGAAGGACAGTGGGAGAGATAGGGAAGCAGACTCCCCACTGAGGGGGGAGCCTGATTTGAGGCTTGATCTCATGATTCTGAGATTATGAACTAGCCAAAACCAAGAGTCAGATGCTTAACCTACTGAGCCACCCAGGCGCCCCTAATACTGTCATTTAAAACCATTAATTCAGAGTTATTTTCATAAATTTTCTGAGAGCCAACTATGTGCCTCATATATAAAACAGCATGGGAGAATACAAAATGTCAATGATTGTTTTATTTATAAATATTTTGTGTTATATTTTATAATAATAATAATAATAATGTATTCTATAATGCTTGCAATGAGCCAGGCATTGTGCTTGGTCTTTATATATAAAAATCCCCATAACAAACATATGAGGATGCTGATATTACACCCATTTTTAAGATGAGATCATTGAGGCACTAAATTAAATCCCTTGTCTTAAGTCATTCAGCCATTAAATGATACATTGAAGTGGCATTCAAACTCAGGTATTCTGTGGGTACCTGAGTGGTTCAGTCGGTTAAGCATCTGCTGTCAGCTCAGGTCACAATCCCAGAGTCCTGAGATCGAGCCCCGAGTTGGGCTCTTGGGGAGTCTGCTTCTCCCTCTCTCAGCAAACCCCCCCCCCCCTCTGCTTGTGCTCTCTTGCTCACTGCCTCTCTCTCTCAAATAAATAAAATCTAAAAAAAAAAAAAAAAACAAAAAAACACCTACTCAGGTATTCTGGATCTGAAGTCCTTATTCTTAACTACAATGCAATTAATGGCAACAATTTTAAAATAAAAAAATAAAAAGTAGTACATTGAAAATGTAACAGTGTTTATACTGAGGCAGCAAGACAAGTGGTAATTTTTATGGTCTCAATTTATCATTTTGTGCCATTTTCGATTATGAAATATTTGGGTATTTTTCCAGTTCTCTTGAGCTGGCTGTCCTGATGTATGAGGTTGCATTACCTGTGCACAGATGTCCTTCACCAAGAATCTTTGTGCTGCCGAAAGGGAATGACCTCTTGTATCACAGTGAGCCATAGACTGAGTTGGCAAGGGCACCCTGGCTCCCTCCCTACAGAGCAAAGGGAGATGAGGATTGAGAGCAGAGGAGGCGGTGTGGGGTAGGGATTACAACAGGAGCAGACTGGGCTATTTCCTCCCACCGAATCTCAGACTGGCTGCCATGGCACCTGTATATTTATACATTGATTAATTTAGGCAGCTCTCCCCAGCTCTCCCCAGCTCTCCCTTAAGCCTGAGGGCACTGGAAGCTGTTGTTAAAGATGGTAATTAAAATTACAGGCTTTAACTCTAAAAACTAATTTAAAATAATCACTTGCAAGAGTCTATGGATGAGACCCACCTTAGAGGATGGATTTGGTGAAGCAGTAGACTCAGGGCCCCTACTGAGCGTACTCTGTCGGCAAAATGTGACTAACCTGGTTAAATATTTAGATAAGAGACTGGCAATGATGGTGCTAGCTTTCACTAGCGTCCTTGTACCAAAGGGGAAGAGGGGTGTGTCTGTGCTTTAAAGGCATATTCCCTCCCTCCTTGTGGGTCAGTGAGTGAGGTCACATAGTGTCTTTCCAGGAACCTAGTTCAGTTCTGTTAGGAGCGAGGTTTTTAAAAATTGTAAACTGAAGTAGAGTGTTGTCTTCCCTGCACATAAGTGCAGTTCTGCCAGGAACAAGACTTGGAAACATTGCAAGAGGGTAAATACTTTTTCCTTCCTCTTTTTAAAACCCTTTTTTAAATTGGACAAGGTAATTTATGGTCACTCTCGAAAATTCTGAAAACCAAATAAAAGAAAACAAACATACTGCTGATAATTTCATGCACTACCTGTCACCACCATGCAGCTTTGTTTACTTCTGGACTTTTTTATGCCTGTATATAATATATGACTTTTTTTTTTTAATCTCCTGATAAAGAACATTTCATTTCTAGAGTTTACAATCATTTGATTACTTAATTGACTTCTTTGAAGGGAGCTGATGCACAGTCTCCCCATATTTCCTACCCTAAACTTAAACGATGGGGTTGCTTTAGTCTCATTTGGGGAGAATTAACATCTTAACAATATCAAGTCTCCCAAACCATGAATAATGTAGAACCCTCCAGTTATTTGGGGTGTGTAATGTACATCATTAATTTATTAGAGCACACACACGTTCAAGTAATATTCTTCCATTTCATAGGTAGTGTAAGAGCCTCCTGATAGCATACTTCCCTGTCTCCTCTCCTAGCCTTTCTGCTATCACTGTCATATATTTACTTATTTATGTTACAAACCCTATGTGACATTATTCCTTTTTAACGAAATTACTTTGATTCTCTTTTAAGGAGATTTAAATAAGAAAACTCAGATATTTATCCACAGATTTGCCATTTCCTGGACTCTTCATTCTTTTGTGTAGATCCATTTTTACATTTGCTGTCATTTTCCTTCTGCCTCAAGAATTTCTTTTAACATTTTTTGTAACTCTAGTCTGCTGGCAATGAATTCTTTCCACTTTTTGGGTGGGGAGGGAAGCTTCATTTTTGAAAGACATGTTCACAAAGTATGAGATCTCAGATTGACAGCTGTTCCTTTCAGCACGTTGAAGAGGGCGCTCCACTACTTCTCGCTTGCAATTGTTTCCAGTGAGAAATCTGCTGTCATCCTTATTTTTGTTCCTCTACACAGAATGTATCCTTTTTCCTCAGGATGCCTTTAGGGATTTTTTTATCACTTTTTTTTTTTCCTACATTGCAACTAACTATTTTTTTTAATCGTGTTATGTTAGTTGCCATACAGTACATTATTAGTTTCTGATGTAGTGTTCCATGATTCATTGTTTGCATGTAACACCCAGTGCTCCATGCCATATGTGCCCTCCTTAATACCCATCTTTGGTTTTGAGCAATTGGATTATGATATCCCTTGGTATAGATTTCTTCATGTTTCTTATGCATGGGGTTCATTTTGCCTCTTGGATCTGTGGGTTTATGGTTTTCCCCAGTTTGGAAAAGTTTTGGCCTTTTCAGATTTTCCTGCCCTTCCCACCCTATCAGGGACTCCATATTAAGCTACTTGAAGACATCCCACAATCTACTGATGCTCTTTTCATTTTTATGATTCTTTTTTCCCTCGGTTTCACTGCAAATAATTTCTATTACTATTACCTTCAAGGTTCACTGTTTTTCTGCCATGTCTAAATTGCTGGGAATCCCAACCAGTGTATTTTTCATCTCAGGTGTTGTAAATTTCATCTCTAGAAATTTGATCGGGAACTTTTTTATATCTTTCATATCTCTATTTTACTTTTTCAGTATATGGACTATAGTTATAATAACATTATGTCCTTATCTGCAAATTCTAACAACTGTGTGAGTTCTGGGTCAGTTTTGACTGGTTAATTATTCTCCCCATTTTAGGTTGTGTTTTCTTGTTTCTTGGCATGCCTGCTAATCTTTGGATGTCAGACATTGTGATTAGCCTTGCTGGGTGCTGGATATTTTATATTCCCATAAAAATTCTTGACCTTTGTTTTAGGATGCAGTTAATTACTTGGAAAATTTGACTCCTTTCGGTTTTGTTTTTGTGACTTGTCTGGCCGGTCCGGAGCAGTAGTCCAACTAGGACTGATCATTACCCACTTCTAAGAGATCTTCTTCAGTTTCCTACCCAATGCCCTGGGAATTGTGAGTCTTTCTAATCTGTGTAGTGGAAACAGCAGTGTTTTCCAATCCTTTCACGTGGCTTTTTTCCCTCCAGCCTTGGGGGGGTTTCTCACACATGTGTTCTGATCCCTACTCTGCTGAATACTCATGGGGGACCCACTGCAGGTCTTTGATTTCTTCCTCTCTACTGATCTCCCCACTCTGGCACCCTGCCCTGCCAAGTCCAGCCATGTTGACCTCCCCAGACCCTTAGCGCTATCTCCTCAACTCAGTGAGTCTGATGGGCAGTTCCCCACCCCTGCACTGCAGCCTGAAAAGTAAACTCTCAAGGCAGAAAGTGGGCCACCTCTCTTCTCTCTTATCTCCCAGGGATCACTCTTCAGTGCCTGATGTCCAATCTGTAAAAACTAATTTGGGGGAAACAACAACAACAATTGTTTGATACATTTTGTCTGGTTTTGTTTTGTTTCAGTAGCAATGGTAAACCCAGTCTCTAACACTTCATCTTGAGTGGAAGCATTAGTCTCCTGACACTGGATTTTAATGACTGGTTTACTCCTGATTTTGAGGGAGAGTGCAGTCCATGAAGAGCATGGATCCTGGAGTCGGACCAACTGAAATCTCTGCTCCACCACTTCCTAGCATGTGACTTAGGCCAGGTTACCCTGATGGTGCCTCCCTTCCCTCATCTGTAAAACAGGAGTGATCATAGTTGTGTCTCACTGGATTTTTGAGAAGAGAAAATGAGATACTGTGTTTAAAGCATGACAGAGTTCCCAAGAACCACAAAATGTCATCAACATAGATGATGGGGACCTTGGATCCCAGTAGGTGCACCTCGAGAGCTAGGAACCTCACCCTGTGTTCTCTGAGTGATGAGATAGCCACGAGACCCCCACCCCACTCCTAATTGCTCTTATTCAAGGGTTATCATCTCCTAAATAACAGACGTGGGTTTTGGGGGGTTTTTTGTTTGTTTGTTTTTTTTAGGAGAAGACCGGAAGACCCCCAGTGAATCAAACAGCCCCTCTTCCTCCTCCCTCTCAGCTCTGAGTGATTCAGCCAACAGCAAAGATGATTCAGACAGCTCTCAAAAAAACAAGAATGGGAACAACCTGCTGGTCATCTCTGTTGTGCCTGGGAGCCAGCCCTCAGTGAATAGTGAGGAAAAGACAGAGAAAGGTAAGGGAGACAGTGCGTTGGCCTGCTTGAAAATAAGCCCTGGAGGGGAGTGATATTGGAAAACAGACAGTAGGCCTGGGAACAGTATAATGCTGTTTGTAGTCTTCTGGATTATCTGCATCCAAATATGGGGTGGCTAGATGGGCCGTGTGACATGGATTCTGGAGCTGTATGTTTAACTCCTTTTGCCATAGAGATGAAGGGAACGATGCCTGAGAGGGTATAGCTGGGGAAGAGGAGAAATAGGGGGCTGTCTGTCCCCCCTCCAGCCCCCTCCCATCCTTCTGCCCCATGCACCCGTACACCCAGCTCCCATCCTTTCAGGGTTCGAATGCGTTTTTTGCAACTTTGTCTGCAAGACGAAGAACATGTTTGAGCGCCATCTGCAGATACACCTCATCACCCGGATGTTTGAGTGTGACGTGTGCCACAAGTTCATGAAGACACCCGAACAGCTGCTGGAGCATAAGAAATGCCACACTGTCCCCACCGGTGGGCTCAAGTAAGGAAAGCAAGTACAGAACCTTTTACTGTGTTGTTATTAAACACCCTTCCCCAACCCTACCCCACCCCCTGCCCTGAAGGTTTTGGGGTCATGGAGAGGTAGAGCTTGGCATTGGGCTAGTCAGTCAGGCACCACCTCTGCTACCTTTAGCCGGATATGAACCAGACCTAGTCCCCAGGGGGTCAGCGGACGCAGCAGAAGAATCCATTTCACAAATTTTCCAGGATTCCTGGCGAGCCAGCGTCGTGTTGGAGCAGCTCAGCCCGCAGGGCTAGACTCATCCTCCACTGCTTGAGTTTGGTTCCGACTGGAGTATATGGACTTGGGGGTCAGTGTCCCCGAGTGTAAATCATTACACTCTCACGGCCGTCACTGTCTCTATTTTTTTAGATGATTTTCCATGTGCCTTTTAAACCAGCGTCACAACAACTCATCCGCACCCCACCCCCAAATATCGGATCCTTGCCTTTTTGAACAGGCAGGAGGCAGTGTTTTTCAGGCAGAAATCATGTGCCTCGGGTCTTCCTGCACACATGCCTTATTCCTTCCCAGGAACTGCGATTGGGATCTCCCTGGCTAGCCTTCATGAGATCTGACATTTCCAGTCACACGTTACTCACAGATCCCCAAAGACCTAGACAACAAGCATCGTCATTAACCAGTATTTGCAAGAAGCCCTCTGGTCTGAAGTGAGACCCGTCAGTTCTTACCAAACGCACGGTGTGTCTGGCTTGATAACAGGCACTGAAGGGCAAACGAGGAATAAAACATCATATCTACCCTCAGGAAATGTATGTCCTAGCAATACCAGAGTTTAATCTTCCGGGTGATTCTGAAATCAGCCCCTGCTCACAAGGCACTTAGGATCTAGCAGAGAAAGAAGCATATGTCGTTGAGCACAGGAAGACACACAAGTTTCAAGGCATAATTATTCATGTTTAGCTGAAATAATCATGTCATTAAAAGAATGAAAATTTATATTTTACTTAACACAAGAAAAAAACCCTCTTGTTTTTAAACATTTTTATCTTTGAAACTCACATATTGCCAGAGAGGTTGGCATGACTCTCCTGAATGGGCGAGGGATGGAGAGATCCAAAAGGACCCTGGGGGTCAAGTGTTGGGGGCAGTCCAGGGCTGACCCTTCTGCAGGCTCCTGCCTGGTCAGAAGCACCCTCCTCAAAAACTTTCCCAAACAGAGGAGTCAGGGAGCAGCACCTACTGTCAAATTCCATTTTGTTTCACTCTTGGGGCACTTAAGTGGGAGGGGGAGGGGGATGACTGCAGGGATGGGGGAGGGGAGATTATAATTCAAGACAACCAGTAAATGGGAAATGCCCAGCGAGAGCTTATTTGGGAATTGGATCTGGTTTGTTCCCACTGTCCTTTCTAAATACTTGTATACTCTTATTTTTAAAAAAAGAAAGAATGAAAGAAACCATGTAGTTCTGTGGTTGGACTAGCGCTCGTTGCCCTTCCCAGTAGCCCAGTCACACCCATTAACTCTGTGGCGCCCCCTGCCAGTTGTGGCTTTGTCAGTTAGCCTTGCCTTGGGGACCTACGGAGTCCCAAGCCTCCGACCCATTGGGGAGAATGCACAGTGAATGCTGACGCTTTTTTGCCGGTCCAGACACTTCGGGTGTGGTGCTAACGGTCCCCTGTGTAATAGTTTATGTTCTAGGATGACCAAGTAGAAGAATACTTTGAAAAAATTGATAATGCCTTCTGGCTATACAGTGAGTCTTTGTTTTGTTTTGTTTTGTTTTCCCTTTGCCATATCAGAGAATTAATTTGCCTGAGAGAGTGTCTTTACGATAAATATTGGGAGCACGGAAAACCCTTAGCACTTTGCCTGAGCAGCGAAAGAAAGATTGAGCTGTGGGTCACAGAAATGTTCTTAAAATGAAACAGACTGCCGATGTCTAAATTGCTTTTCTGTGATGGAACTGCTTGTACTCTATATCCTGTTCATAATGCAGATCAAATAAGATTATACTATTATTTTTCTTTTGCCGTAGCTCAGGACAGTGGTGAGTTTCAGACTCCTCTAGGTAAGGCCCAGCTTGGCGTAGGGGTTGTGTGTGCACCTGACCTGGGAATGGGCTTTATATTTCTCTCGTGTGCACTCTTCTGTGAGCTGAGGTGCAAAGGCTAACGGCGAGCTTGGCGCTGAGGAGCAGTGCACGGCGCACTTGGTTGTGTTGGGCTCTGTTGAACACCTCTCCAAACCCTCAGAGGACAAGTCACTCCTGGGCCCTGCCCGGCAGGTGCCAGGCAGGAGCCAAGGCAGCCACTTTTGCATTTGCATTCTTTTGGGAAAGAGAGCAAACACGCTACAGCTATCATTTCAACCACCAACTTGAGCTTTGCGGCTTCCAAAAGAGAAGCTCAGCAGAATTTGCAAACATGCCCTCACTGCTCCTCCTAGCCCCTCTGGACAGCCAGGAGGCTGGGGGGTGGCATAGCCTCCCTGCATAGGATGGAGAAACCAAGCCTCGGGGAGGCCCAGGCTTTGTGCCAGGGCATATCCAGCTATGGCCCGATAGAGGTGATGGAGCTGGGACCAGAATCTGCCAAAATTCTGTGTAGAGACCAATCCAGTAATGAATCAGTGCCTACCAAGCACTGCCGAGAACGCAGAAGAAATATAAGATATGGTCCTGCCCACTGAGAATATATGATCCAGTTGGATTACTATTATCTCCACGATGGAATAATGTTTTCATAACGTCTTCAAACTCCAGAGAGCAGTTGCCTCCCTCCCTCTTTATCCCTCCTTAGTGATGGGCTGGTGGGTGGGCCTCCCTCTCCCGAGCCCCATGCTGGTCCTCATTTGCCTCTCCTGATGGAGAACCAGGGCTGTAGGAGATAGGATTTAGGAGTACAGATCCATGTACACACACACACACACACACATTCACACAGAGAGACACACACAGGCCTTCTCAACCTAACTACCCTTTAATAAGCACGATTCTGACCCCTACAACTTTCTGTTTGCTGGAGGTAGCTCTCCCCCTATAAGCTGTTCTTCAAAACTCTTAGCCTTTCTGCGTGTGCTTGGTGTGGTGCATGAAAAGTCGATTCTTTGTGTTGCTCCCATCTAGAGGGGAGGTCATGAGGATTAGACCTCTGCTATGTCTGGGGCGGGGAGTGGGGAGGGCTCCGAGGGGAATGGGCGGGGAGGACGGAGGGGAGCAAGCGCTTACTTATTCCTCCCCCTTTCTCTGCTCCCCTTCCCGTGGGCTGGTGCTCACTCATCCAGCCAGGAGACCCCCACAGTAGGCAGAGCGTACGTTGCCGGAGCTCCTCCTTAGCGGGCACGGCTCTGTGGGCAGAGAGAGCCAAGAGGGTCCTCTTAACCCTCCCGGAGAGGTGGCAGGGCTGGGCAGGGGCAGGCGAGGCCTTCTGAGTTTGGAGGGGGCGGGGGAGAGGGCAGTGAGGGGAGGCTGGTGAGGAGGGTAGAAGTGGGGCCGCTGCTGAGCCTGTCCGGCTGACCCTCCCTGTCATTGCTTCCCCCCCTCCGCCCGGCAGGTGCCCATTCTGCATTTATTCCACCAACCGCCCCGCTGCCATGGAGTGCCACCTCAAGACCCACTACAAGATGGAGTACAAGTGCCGGATCTGCCAGACGGTGAAGGCCAACCAGCTGGAGCTGGAGACGCACACCCGGGAGCACCGCCTGGGCAACCACTACAAGTGCGACCAGTGCGGCTACCTGTCCAAGACCGCCAACAAGCTCATCGAGCACGTGCGCGTGCACACCGGGGAGCGGCCCTTCCACTGTGACCAGTGCAGCTACAGCTGCAAGCGCAAGGACAATCTCAACCTGCACAAGAAGCTGAAGCACGCCCCCCGCCAGACCTTCAGCTGCGAAGAGTGCCTGTTCAAGACCACACACCCCTTCGTCTTCAGCCGCCACGTCAAGAAGCACCAGAGTGGGGACTGTCCCGAGGAGGACAAGAAGGGTCTGGGCCCCGCCCCCAAGGAACCAGCCGGCCCCGGGGCCCCGCTGCTCGTCGTCGGGAGCCCCCGGAATCTCCTGTCTCCCCTGTCGGTCATGTCCGCCTCCCAGGCTCTGCAGACCGTGGCCCTGTCGGCCGCGCACAGTAGCAGCTCCGAGCCCAACCTGGCACTCAAGGCTTTGGCCTTCAACGGCTCCCCTTTGCGCTTTGACAAGTACCGGAACTCGGATTTTGCCCATCTCATTCCCTTGACAATGTTGTACCCCAAGAACCACTTGGATCTCACATTCCACCCTCCCCGACCTCAGACTGCGCCTCCCAGCATCCCCTCACCCAAACACTCCTTCCTCGCCTATCTTGGACTGCGAGAACGAGCAGAGACTGTCTGAGGGCAGCCGTGTTCTGTACCAAAAACAAAGAGACAAAGACAAAACAAAAAACAAAAACCCACAAAACTTAAACACAACCCCAGCAGGTGTATGTTGCTGCAAAACCTACAGGCCCCTGGGTCTGAACCACGTGTACTGTATATCTTTAGTAAGGAATAGAGGATTGGCTCTGTGTGGACACCCTATTGCATTGACCTGAAAGCTGCTTTATCCAATCTTCAGAGAGGTGACCTACTGCATACGTCTACCTTCAGAGGCATGCCTCCCCAGCTCCCCACTCCCACTCTCGGCCCTTCTCCGTACTTTGCTCTGAGAGGAATTTTGTCTTGTTAAGCCCTAAAGAGAGTGTCCTTAATAGCAATCAGCACTTGTACGCTTATGCACTGGTGCATTTGGTTTTTCTGTTGGGTGAATGGGGTGTGTGGGTGTTGTGGATTCCGAAAGAGAAAGCCGTGTGTCGTGTGCCATGCCATTTCTGTCGCCCATTTCTTCGTACTGGCTTCTTTAACAGCGATGAACGTTCTTTTCCCTCCAGGGTTGTTCATCCGTACAGTCTCTCCCTGAGCTCCTTCATCAACTTTCCCTCTCGATTTTATGGCTACAGAGTGGTAGGGCCTGGTGCTTGAGTCGATGAAGGACTGGTAGACACCCACAGTGCTGCTGGAGATTTCCGACCGGGTGCCAGAGACCTCGTGCTCAGATCTTTTCGGTTATGAAGATGTGAGAACTGAGAGTCCACTCCAGAAGAAATATCTTGCAGCACTGCAGCCAATATCACAAAACTTAAGTGTGTTTTGTGTGTGTGTGTGTGTGTGTGTGTGTGTCTCCATACGTATACAATGTGTATGGTGCACACACACAGTGCATCATTTTTTAAGGGCAGATTATATATATATATATATATATATATATATATATATATATATGAGACTTTATATATATATATGTATATATATATATGATGTATTAATTCAGTGGTTACCATTCATTTGCAGGAAAAGAATTGTATGAGTGAAAAATTTTATGGTTGATAAATCCAGCCAAGGAGATTAAAGGGGTTTGGATAAATTCTGGGTATAAATGCTCAGACTAAAAAAAAAAAAAAAGAAAAAAAAAAGAAACAGCAGTTTTGCACAGTGCTTTGGTCTTGCACTAGTTTTTGTTTCTCATCTGCAAAAAAAAAAAAAAAAGTAAAATAAAAGGAAGAAAAATGTACCTTTTCTATGGAATGAGTAGACTGTATGTTTGGAAAATTTTGTCACAACCTCTTTAACATATAACGACCCAACAAAAAGGTGCTGTTTAGTCCTACGGTTCAACTCATGCCCCTGAGAAGTTTCCCTTGTGTTTGCAGATCGTCTGGCTATAGCGGTATTCTCCATGTTATTAATAATTCTGTATTCCACGTTGTTAACGCCTGGTAGCTATAACCTGCTAGGAGGCTAACTTTATACTTATTTAAAGCTTTTATTTTGTGGTCATTAAAATGGCAACTTACGTGCAGCACTTTATTGCAGCAAGAAGCAGATGTGGATTTGGTTGCCTAGCCCTTTGCGAATCTTAAAAATGTAATGGGTGATTTCAAAAGAAAAGGAAAAGAAGTCTTGGGCCGAATATCTTAATTGCTTGTATTTGTAAGAAAACAGAATTTCCAGCATGAAACAGGCTGAAAGGGCAGGAAGAAGTGTGCTCTGTATAAGAATGGAAAGTTTGGAATATAAAAGTTTATATATTATTTATCTATTGAAGAACTGGTGTACAAGAGGAATGCTTTCTTACTGCGTTGCTGTTTTCCATCATGTGTTATCCTAGAGTTGGGATTTTTCTTTTCATCTGTTTCACCAGGGGAAAATAAAAGCATCCCTAATTTTCTTCCTCTAGTCAGTTTGCTTCACTGAAAGCCCCCTCGAACTTGGTACAGTTCTACAGGAAGCCAGAAGACTGTACCGTCGGTCCATACCATGGACTCCCCCCACCCCCATACCCACCCTTTCTTCCCCCAGACCTAGCAGGTGTGCTACACTTCCCTTTGCCAGTCCTCCAGCCCTGGCAAACCTGTTTACACTAAGGAGATGTCCCCAGGGGCAGGGAGGCTGAGCCAGCTAGGGCAGGAAGCTCCCGAACCCTCGGTCATCCTCCGGCAGAGACATTTGCTCTTGGCTACGTTAGAAGCGTTGTTCAACCTCGCCATGTCAATGTCTCGGTAAAAGACACTATAGACAGTTACGGACAATACACTCCAAGAATACTGGGCATATGGGTGGGTTGGTTTTTTAAAAAGTCCTGTCTTTATCCCCATATAATGGAGAATGTGCCACTTGGCTAATAATGTGCTTTCAAAATTACAAGTTCAGTGATGACAGAAGAGGGCCACGGGGATCCCACGGAGGCTGGCAGAACAGGCGAATCGCACGGAAGCACCAGCAGGTTAAAAACCTGAAAGGGTAGCCCTGACAGGACTGCAGGTTTTACAGCATGCCACGTGTGCAATAGGAGGTCCTCGGCTGAAACTTGCAAGAGCGAGAGGGGTGTCGGAAGGAGATGTTTACTGCTCAAATGCCATGCATTTCACTGCTTGCCACTGAACTTGTATTTGAATGACTTAGTTATGCTTAATGTAATTGGGCAACTTTTTTAGCACTTTGGAAAGAGTCATCAATCTTTCTGGTAAATTATAAAAGTTTTCTGAGTGAGAAAAGGTGTGTTTGGAGTTTGTTTGACTTTTTATATTATTATTATTGTTATTAATAAAGAAAAAATCTACAGCATCTTTTCAGACTCCACCGAGATAATATATACCCCCGAATTTGGTTTGCAGTTCGATACTCAGGGAAGGATTATTCCATAGATATCCTTTCCGTGTAAAACACTAACATCTTTGAGAAATTCACCTGCCAACTAACTTCAATTCTGTTTTCACTATGCATTCTTCAACGGAAGCTAGCTTATCTGTCCATATAGTACTGCAGTTAGAGTTCTCAGCACTTTCTTGCTTCTATCCTTTTTTTAACTCCTCATATTATGTTCAGATGATCATACTGTCAAGGTTTGTGTACATTACTGAAAATTTGTATTGTATAAAGCTTTTTGCATTACAAGGCTGTACAGGGTCATTTTGACAGTAACTGGTATATTTCTTCGCATCTTATGTTGCATTGCCAATTTCTAGTGTATCCAGTTTGGAAGTATAATATACTCTAATTAAAACAAAAAAAAAGGTTGGCTATACTCTTTTGTTTCTTTTTTTTCCTCTCCCCCCCGCCACCGCCCGCCCTTGGTTGCCATCCTTGACTACTTGTTAAGTCCCAGGGTTTTATTTGCCTTGCTTTGTTCCCATTTTAACTTCTCTGCGTATTTTTAGGAAATGTCCACTACTAGTTATAGCCATTGCAAAATGCAAGTTTTGAACAGCCATGGTTATAATGCAAACTGTCATTATGTAAGTCATTAATAGCCATTAAGGCTGAGAGCGTATCCATCATTCAGTATAGTTGTAGACCAGCTTCTTCCTGAAATTACTTAGTGACATGTTGAAGTGTTCACCAGCCTTCCCCTCTCCTGCTTAACATCATTTTACTGACCCCACAGCCAAAGGGCAGGGGGGGAAACAGATGAATAATTCCACTTATCCTAATGAAGTTCGGCAACTATGAGATTTTAATGCGGGGGAAAATGGTCTATTTTGCAAGCTAAATAATAATCCATCCAAATGCAAGTAATGATTTGCCATTCAAAGGAAGGTACCAGAGAAAGAAACTGAGGCCAAAACAAAAGATGACAAGCACACTAAGTTTTTTAAAATCCATTTTAAAGTTTGGTTCCTTAGAGATCTTCCCTGTGAATCTATGATGGTTGATAAAAAAAATATAAAGCAGCAAAAGAGAATGTTCTATCTAGTTCACAGCTTCCATGCTTATAAATATAATGTCCTTTGCTCCTTGTAAGAAATTATGAACTGCTTCACTCTAACACTGAAAAAGATCAAATTTACTTTTCATAAAATGACATGATGTGGGAAAAGTCACTTTGAAAACAACCAGTCACTAATCAGACACTATTTTCCCCTTCATGTTTTCATCCAATAGCTATTTTTAGGTGATTGGATCAAGTTGATTCAATACCAGTTTTGTTTGGGGGTGGCTGATATTTACTGAAAATTCTAAAATAAATCAGATTTCCTTGCCTTCTGCTAGCACTACAAGCTGGAGTGTCTTTTCATTTTGCATACATACTGCTTTTTCTTTGACCCCACACCTACGTCACATCTCAATCACCCTGTGATTGAGAAAAGCCAGAAATACAAAGAAAATGAAATCGTCAGTTTCATAATGGTCTCCCACTAATGGGCTTCCGGCGACTGAGGAATGACTTGGGGTGGGATCCATCCCAGACCGTGGCCGCTAACCTCTCTGCTTACCTACATTGCAGCAGGTGCACAGGGGAGGATCCAAGCCAGTTATGTGGCCCCAACTTGAATTTAACCTGAAATCAAACTTTTCCCTACCGTCGTGTTAGATTAAGATACTTGAAGTTAAGACTCAAGGCCATTTTTTCTATAGTGTGTCTATGGCTGACTGGCTCATTTTCTTGGCCACTAAAAGCTCCCTGAGCATTTAACAGAGGCCCAGTCCTGGTCACAGACAGGGGTATGGGGAGAAATATCAGGGTTTGGTGAGCATAGGCACCTCCTCACCCACAGAAGCCCCATATTAGAACCCCTGCCGGCCGAAGGTGATGTGGGGCTTGTAAATGATTTGAAGAAGGCATATCTCATTAGCTGCTGAAACAGAACTCAAGGCTCCCCAGGGCTGTCAGTCTTCAGGGAGGGAGGAGACCCAAAAGGAGCTTGGGCATACAAAAGGGGTGGGAGGGAAGAAAGGGGATAGCAGCTGGGTGACCACATTGTGCTTGCAGAAGACTGGAATCCTTCCCAGGGATGCCTTAGAACCTGTAAGCGAAATCACAGGATAAAAGAATGCCCTTGGGGATTTGGACTCCGTTCTAAAGGGCTATCAACCACAAATATTCCAGAGATCCCAGCCAACATTCTTACTTATACCACTGTCTCAACACAGAAAAGTCCTACACAAAACGAGGTTTATTGTGCAAATAACTACCATTAACTAACAAAGCAGGTATCCATAAAGCAGACCCTGGGGTAAAGTGTGGTGACTGTGGGGCCTGAGGGGCCCATTCTTCCCCTGTCTGGGGTCAGAAGGGCCTCAAGTTATCAGTTTATGAGGTAGCAGGGCTCCTATTTGTAATTCTTTCTTGATAGCTGGGTCTGTAAAACAGGAAATGCAAATGGTGCTCACCATGGTCGCTGCTGCAAAGGGGGAAAAGAAAGTCAACTGCTGTATTCCTTTGAAATTCTGTTTTGATAAGAGTTAGGATAGGGGCACCTGGGTGGCTCAGTGGGTTAAAGCCTCTGCCTTCCCCTCAGGTCATGATCTCAGGGTCCTGGGATCAAGCCCCCGCATCTGGCTCTCTGCTCGGCCGGGAGCCTGCTTCCTCCTCTCTCTGCCTGCCTCTCTGCCTACTTGTGATCTGTCTCTGCCAAAGAAATAAATAAAATCTTAAAAAAAAAAAAAAGAGTTAGGATAAGTACTCGTTAATTAGTTCTTAGTTTTCAATAGAATTATCGACCCAGGGCAGAGTCCACCTCAACTCACACTTCAGACTTCCTTTCCCCTGTGCCGCTCCCTAACAGTGGTTTTCTACCCTAGTTAGTTCAAGACGATCAGTATTATAGATAGTCTCTCCCAGCCCTGAGCTCCATTGCCCTGGAATCAGATCACCTGAGTTTGAGTCCTGCTTCAAAAGCCATAGGTTCAACTAAATGATCTGTAAGACCCCTTCCGCCTGCCAACAGATAACATATAA